GTCTCTCTCTGTGTAGGGCACTACCTTCCGATCGTATTACTTCACTATAAGATAACAAAGACTAAAATACAACATTTTGGCGGAAGGCACGGAAATAGACCTGCATCACTGCTGCAGGTGCACGACTGTGAGAAGCAAGATTTCACAATGTAGTAGAGTGAAGAAGAAATGTTATTTATATGGCACATTTCATACTGCACTGCAACTCAAGTGGTGTTGTGAAATGCGATGAATGAAATGTGTAATGAATTTCAAACATAGTTTCAATTGATTTAGGTAAAGTAAGGTAAAGGTGTACTTTATTTATCCCCGTAGGGCAATTCATCCTCTGCATTTGACCCATCCTGATGCCGCTAAGGCAACCACTGTCAGGAGCAGTGGTCGCCTTAGTACAGCGCCCGGGAGCCCATCTCCAAATGTTGATGCTCGGCTTGGTCAGGGCAACCGGAGCTGGAGGATTTAACCTAGTGTGCATGTTTTTAGTGGTAGGGGAAACCGGAGTACCCGGAGGAAACCTACGCAAGCACAGGGAGAACATGCAAACTCCACTCAGAAAGACCCTGTTCCGACTGGGATTCGAACCCAGGATCTTCTTGCTGAGAGTGCAACTCACTCAGCCACCGTGCCGTATCACTTTTTGAACCTTACATAGACTTAAATATGCTGAAAAGAGATTTTATGACTCAGATAATTCTATAATTAAATTAAAATGCATTTACAAAGAATTCTTAATCAATCAACCCAAAGTGTAAGAAGTCATCTCTTAGAAAACATTCTCCAGGGGCATCACTTGAGCTTTGTCTTTGTCAAATGTAAAAAATAATCCCCCATATTTACGAACCTTTCAGGATCTATACTACTCATTGATTATAGCCCTCGCGAGTGAGGTAAAATCATGACCTACTTGTGATCTGCCAAATTAATGATTGCCATATTTTTTTTCATGTTGGCCAGAGTCCGACACACAATTTCTCAAGTAACATCTTTATATTTTTCCTCAGAAACTTGCAAAAATGAAATGTTTATATGCTGTATCTCACACGACACATACATTACACAAAAGCTAAACTCAAATCCTTTTAGAATTTTCCATAAAGCAACATCCCATAAACAACATAACCTTTGCAATGGCACCTTTCCTTCTGCACCCATCCATTCTCTTCCGGAACAAAACTACTTAAACATCTAATCTCTTGAGGCTGACACTTGTAACCATAAATCTTGAAGACATTTATGAGATTTCTGTAAATGTAAATCACGGCGCAATATAGGCCTTAGCTTTTACAAGCACCAGAAAGCCCCTGCATCCACAGTGCGACAGGCAAGGGTGCTTGTTAGTTCATGTCCTGAGGCCCTTCAGCCAATCAGCTCCCCCTGCTTGGCCTTTTGATGAGTGCAAAGAAACTATTAAATATGTATGTGTGTGGAGGATAGGAGCAGGTTTTCAGCATTACACCACCACGAGTATGTTCGCCGTGGTTTCTTTCAAGTTAATTCAAGATTTGGCCGAACGTTAATGCTATATTGTAACTGTTGGAATATATTTTTGCAGTATTATAGAAGCCTGATTAAAAACGCTCAATAGCGGTTTCAGAACAATGTGAATCGAGATAAAAAAAAAACCTATATTGTATGGAGCATAGATTATTGTCAAGCAGATGCCATAATCCCACTGACGGATTAAAAGGGCTTGACAGTAAAGCGTCAGCAGTCAGCATGATAGGTGTGTAGGGATCCATAGAAACATTACATTTGTCTGTGCGTTTTTGCGGATTTAGCAAACAGGCGCTGTGGCTCAAATGCTAATGTCGACTTCATCAAGTAGAGGGAGGCGCCGAGTGACACATGAAATATAGAAAAACAAGGAGGCATAAAGAACAGCGAATGGGTGGGACTGAGAGGATGCAGTGCGGCTGTAGTCAGCGAGAGGAACGAATTAGGAATTTAAAGATAAAACACAAAAGGATTTTGTTTCAGGCTAATTAAGAGGAGAGCAATGCTTTGTTTTACAACACAGGACTCAAATGTCACACATGATGTAACAAAATGCAATAGTGCGAGTCCGTTGCATGCTGTATATTTTACAACGCACCAGTTCATTTCAGATCTCATATTTAACATATGTTAGCATACTTTAGTGGTGGCACAGGGGTAAACACTTTTGCTTCATGGTAAGAAGGTCCTGGGTTCGATTCCACCTCCAGATGGGCCCTTTGTGAGTGGATTTTGCATGTTCTCCCTGTGTTTGGCGTCAATTTCCTCCAGGTGTTCTACCACTAAAAAAATAGGTCTGAATGTAATGATTGAGTGAACGGACGGTGATGGTCGGAGTGCTTCAAAGTCTCGTTTCCATCATCCCCACATGGGAATTAAATTACGGCACACCAAAATTGTAATGAGCTTGGAAGGCAAAATGCGCTATATAAATAAAGATAACTTGCTTAGTTAATTTGGAAATGTGCATCTTGTATGATTGTTTTTTTTGCATAGTTTGTATTGCATTAAAGGGGCAATACAACTGAGGGATTTTATATTTTTATCTTTCGTTTTAATGTTCTGTGATTATTTATGATTTTAATGCTATCTTGTTCAGCACTTTGAGTTGCCTTGTGTATGAATTGTGCTATACAAATAAACTTGCCTTGCCTTGCCTTGCCACTTTCTGTTACTTCTAGTGAACCACCAACTGCTTTTCTTCCAGAAGTATTGATATTGATTTTCCAAGAATGGTCTACAGTAGGAAATTAAACTTACTTATCATGGAGGCCCAGCCAGGTCAAGTCCAAGCTGGAGAGATCCAAGGTGACTCAACTCACACCACGCCATGTTTTGAGATACTTTAGCTCAAAAGAAAGGTCTACTAATAGAACAGTGTACACGCTGGATATTCCAGGTATAGGAATATAACATGATGCGCACATATTCTACATCATTCAAAGGAGATGAATAGAATCACATCATTGGTTCATTTATTCAGGTTTAGGACAGAAATACTGTGGCATATCATTCCCTGTGGATCGACAATTTTTCGTTATCTTTCACCACTCTCCCCAATCTCCAAAGTCTCCCTTCAATCTGTCACCACAGGATTCTCACTATATAGATATGGAGCCAAGATGGAGGAGAAGCACTCAAAATGTTATGACTGATTTCACTGTGGGCCTCTGGGAACAAAGCAATTTATGGATAACAGGATGATGACACTGCTAATCCTTCTAGACTGCAGAGGGTCATGCCTGTCTCGGCCACTCAGGGTCGGACAGCAGATAGTGGAGATAATGTTTTTTAAGGAAAATAAATGTGTCATATCTGCTGAATCACTCTGTTCGTCATATACCAGCTGTCGCCACCTCGCCAACGTTACACATCAATCCTTGCTCCTGTGCGATTTGTCACTTCTGTGCTTTGGTAAAGTGCAGATGGTCCTAACATGCAACAGGCTCTTCGGTGTGTCCACTGCGATGACATACAAGAGGGGACCACTTCAGCCGATGTCCAAGTGCATAATGATTACAAATCTGCTCCCAGTCAACAGAAATCACTGGTGAGCGGTGTGGCCTGAGCTCCTGTGAACTGACGGACAGCCGGAGCATGTGAATGAGCTCATTTGTCCATCTACTGAATTGATTTTACATTCAAATTTAAACAGACAGGCGCCAAGAAGCACAGATAGTGAGGAGGTGAGGGCAAAATCATTAATACGCTGATTCATAAAAAGATGCATGCCCACAAGATTGCATCATTTGCATAAAAACCCAAATTACTCATTGAGCTTCAAAATTCCTGCAAGCACTCAGGCCTTGAAATGGTTATGGATTTTCTAAAGCTTTTAATATGTAGAGAATTACATTAAAAGGGAATCTGACAATAAAGATCCATGCAAGATCAACAGACAAAAAAAAGAGGAAAGGAAATATTTATCAAGTCTTAACTAAATCTCCACAGATGCCAGACTCCAACCATAGAAAGTAATTCAGGCTAAAATCAAGCTTAAGCTGTTTAATCCCCTAACAAAAAGTGCTGTATTTATTTATATGAAGCGGGTAAATGGCGATGTTGTGACATGCGGCCCATCTGTGATTCAGTCTAATGAGAACATTACCAAGCCCCGGGCACACACACACTCGCCAGGGCACACACCCAAAGAGAAGCAAAGGCAGGTCTCTCTGACAGCAAAAGTGATGGATGCAAACGGGAGCAGGTATTTTCACTGCCATAATTCTTCCACTACCACTCACCCACCAATGTACACTACAAGACGTGAGGCAGGTAGTCAAACTCAATACAACACTGCAAAAATCAATCAGATTAAAGAATAGGGAAGGGGCGGACAGCCATATGGAACATGCTCGGTCAACACCTTTCTTGGAGCTGGATGTAAATGTGTCTCGAAAGGCAAACAATTCCAATCGCAGTCCAAAAATAGGCTCTGTGACAACCAGCGCTATTTATGTGATTCATAATTTCAGTGTGTCTCAATAAACAATGCTACCTCGACCTGTCAAAACAGGAGACAAGGATATTGGAACGAGGACACAAACTCCCACTCTAGTTGTAGGTATTTAAAAGCGAGCAGTCTAAGTGAGACTTGTCCAAAGTGCAATGTTCAAATGATTCAATATGCAGCTGTTTACTGGCAGTAAACGCTGATGAAAAACAGCATGTCTGATTAACTGTCCTCCCTGTGGAGAAAGTGTCCTTTTCTCATTTTCCAGAAGCGCACATCCTACACTAGGAATGCATTTTGCTCAAAGCGATCTCCTATTCTTCACTATATCAAAAGCACCACAGCCATAAAAAAATCAATGTCTTTTCATGAAATGTGTGACAATACATATTTCTTTATTTCATCAAACTTTTTAATTCCCAGAAATCTCTACATCTTTTTCAAAACGTCACCTAGAGTTATCATTGGCCACGGTGTCCTCCCCATTCACTCCACTGATATGACTCTAATGCATGCGTGTGTGCCTGTGTGTGGGAATGTCAAGTGTACTAACCTGCCCTTCTGGCACGCAGAGCACAGCCAGGCTTTGTCACTCTTGTTGTAGGAGCAGCAGCCCTTGCACACGTTATACTGGCAGTCCAGGCACAGGCGCTTGGGGTTGAGCAGGAAGGTGAAGGGCGCACAGCAGCGGATACAGCAGTGCTCGTTGAATCTTTGCTGCTTGGATAGGATTGAGCATCTGCTGCCTTCCTCCGCTAGCTCCTGCTTCATTTCACTGTGGAAGAGAGAGAGAGAGCGAGTGAGAGAAAGACAGAGAAAGGGGAGGGGGGGTGGGAGAGCCAGGAGTCCAGAGAGGTAAAAATGTGCAAAACGCTACCGCAGAATTAATGAAAAACAATAAGAGACTTGAGTGCGAAAAGGTCATTTGGTTGGTGAAAATAGTCCCCGAAGCCTCTGCACTGATTCTGGGATATTAACATGATGGCTGACATTTCAATTTGGATGAACCTGTCATATCCTGTTTGCCAACATCCAAGCCTCAGCGGTAGGCACATTCCCCACCTTCTTAATTCAGAAAGCTGATAATTAGAGCGTAGATAGTGTTATTCATCATAATAAATGGGACCAAATGGTCTCTGGCTGAAGGTCAATTTGTAGGAGAAGCATTGGGCGACACAGAGGCAGTGGAAATAGAGAGAGGGAGAAGGAGAGTGATGAAAAGGCTGTACTGGGAACCCGCTGGACTTTATTCAAAAATATGGCCTAAGAGCTGCAATCCTTTTATCTGCTTCTGACAAATGATTCTGCCAAGCCTTCTTCCGAGTCATTTGGCAAACTGGGAACTTATTAGCTTTCAAATTTGCCCTTTAAATTATGTGTAAAAAAAAAAAGAAGAAAAAAGAACACCGCAACTTGTTAACTAAATGGCGCGTGCCCTTGTAAGTCCAATAAAACAGTATTTAATGAGCACCAAACAAGGAACAACTGTAATATCATCTATAAGTCATATTTTGACTGGTAAGTAGGGAAGTAAGTAAGTAATGTTTATTTATATAGCGCATTTTACAAACCAAGGTCACCCAAAGCAGAGTTCAGATATTGTTCCAATCATTTCAAACACGGTGATGACAGAAGCGAGTCACCAAACACACTGGCGCATCAGCCCCCAATCAACACCATCCATACACTCTCTCACTTACATTCATTCCTATTAGTGGTAGGGGAAACCTACGCAGACACAGGGAGAACATGCAAACTCCACTCAGAAAGGCCCTGTTCCAACTGGGATTCGAACCCAGGACCTTCTTGCTGAAATGCAAGAGTGCTATCCATTCAGCCACCGTGCCGCCTGGTGCGTGTATGCAGGCTTCTGTCGGTTTTCTTAGCTTACTTTGAGTTTACTTGTGATTCGGTCCTAGTGTAGGCCGATTCTAGTCTGGCTGAAGATTTAAGGGCTTTAGTCCTGGTGGCAATATTATGAAGTATTACTTGGAGAGAGAGAATAGGAAAACACCTTTGGCATCATTTCCATTTGGTGGATTAACACAAGAAGCACATAGATTATTTCCCAAGCAATCTAACAGATGGCGGGTCTAGAACTATGTCACACTGAGCAGTAGATATGTGTTGATTGATAATATGAAGAGAATTCAAATAATGTATTTGAACTATATTCCAAAGTATTTGTCACAGAACTGTTGGGGCGAAAGTGAGATGAGCCGAAATGGGCAGAGCCTGAATTATTTAAGATGCTTCTTTACTCTCGACACGTCGCAAGGTCACTGGTTCATGGCTCTGATTGATCCCACAGATAGATTCAAACACACACTGTGGATAGAGCTGTGTAAAGTCCCAGAAACACATTTCAAAATAAATAACAGAAGTCGAGGGTTATTTTACCAATATTTACACAATGTACCAACAGCAGAGTGGTTAGCACTTTTGCTTCTCAGCAAAAAGGTCTCCTTGTGTCAGCTTAAGTTTCTTCTGGTTATCCAGCCCTGCAGTCCTGACCAAACAGAGCATCAACATCTGGAGATGGGTCCATGGAGTTTGACCCAGTGGCATCGCAGGATGAGTCAAATACCGGTACCAATTGCCTTATAGGAATAAATGCGTTGACCCACGTTAAACCTGCGACCAACCACCACACCGTGTTTTAAGAAAAATTTCACAATATGATTTTGCTTTGATTAAATTAATTGCGTTAAAGTTATTGAAATAGCTGTGAAATTAATACATACAAATTGCTGTGAAGCTTCACACTGTATTTGAAATGCTCATTTGAGCATATTTGAACTGTGGCCATTTAATAACAGAATCTGTCTACGTCTGCAATTTCCATCTCTATCTTGGAGCCATTTGCAATCTATGTAAATTAGAATTTCTGGTGACCAAGCAGTACATGTCTATATGCAAGTTGCCGGCTTCAAATTTGTCGAGCTGTGATTAGCCCCAAAGCTGGACTGAGACAAACCGCGTGAAAAGCACAGCTCTGGCGCAATATAAAAGTCAAATGCAAATAAGGGTTTAGTGCTTAAAACAGCATATTGTGGCCTGTGCTAGTGTGTGCGCATAACCATTGGCAAAGTTATTAAGACTCCACTGCAGCTCTGATTGCTTTTCATATGCATCATTACATGAAGCATATTAATAAGGCGAACAAACCATTTCACATAGTGTCATGTGAGAACGGAGTGGGGTGGAACAAAGGGTGACGCTTTTAGAAGGAACAAAATCAAAGGGCCTTGATATTCCACAGACGTGCTGCTGGGAAATGGAGAACTCAATCAATCATTACAAAAACACATTTAATCAAATAAAGGGCTTTGCCATCTGGTTCACAAAAGTATTGTATGGATGCCAAGTGGATGCGGCCTGTATGGAAATATCACTGCTGGGAACTCATTTTCTTCTGTAACGATTAAGATCAGGGGCCATTTGTGTTCTCCTCTCCTGCCTGTGATACAAGTTTAATGAACAGCGCAATTAGATGATGGCTACAGCTCAGGCTATTTCATTAAACGAGTGGGCAAATGTACACATATCTCCGGGACAGGAGGGGAGTGGTCACGGATGATGTCCCCTGATATTAGCTCCTGTCAGTTCTAATGGGACATGAAGAGCTCTCCGGGTCCGTGGACACTCTGAGGGTAAGGCACAAGTCAGCAAAGATCATTAACTGTACACAACTGAACACATGGCTTTTGTCAAAGTCAAATCATTATTTTATTACAAAATTAATGACAAGCGTATATATATATATATATATATATATATATATATATATATATATATATATTACGTATATGTTAAATCTTAGTTGAGATAGCATTTATAGTTTGAAAGATCCAACATCAATTCTAACTTACAATACATTTCTCTTATATCTAAATCAATTGTGGTCAGTACAAATGACATAAAACATGTGATGAACAGCCAACTGAAGCCTTCATTAAATGCCCCTTTAAACATTCAATGAGCTACAGAACTGACATGCAGTCGCTTCAAGCTCTGTTGATTAAAAGCCTGCTTGCTACAACACTGGATAATGGTGAGTGAATTGTGTTCAAGTTTACCGCGATCTAAAATTAAAAGTATATTGATTATTCCGATTAGACTGTTTTGAAGCCGCAGAGATCTGTGAGGGGGGTAGGTGCACAGAGGAGAATGCTGATTTGCTTGGTAATTTAAAACCAAGATGGCAGCACAATAAGCGAATTTAATATGTGGTTTGTGCTGTCACTGCCGCCGATTATTCTATCTGTACTGAAGATGTATTGACTCGCTTACCGTCAGGCGCACACACATCCTTTCCTCGGTTTGCTTTATCTGCTCGACATCTATTAAGTCTTCTCACAAGCTTGGTGCAAGTGCATTATTGAGACTGAAAGCAAAGCACCTGGTGAAGTTATATCTGAATATACAGCGACAATTTTTATAATAGTTACTTACATACTTAAAGCATAATGGTTTGACATGTTCTGTATTATATATTGATTATGTTTTTTGTTTTTATCTTGTTTTGTGTGCTGCTTTTATTCCTACTGTTCTGTAATGTGTGCTGCAACACTGACACTTCCCCACTGTAGGATGAATAAAGGTTCATAATCTCTGACTTTGAGATTTTTTTTTCAGTTTGCAAGAAAGTCGTGTGGGAAAACAAAAGATGTCCCAAAAAGCCGGATTACAAAAATAATATGATTTAATAATAATAAACTGAAAGTCCAAGGTGAAAACAAAACTCAGAAAATCCAAACAGAACACAGGAACTGGGGGAAAACACTCAGACAAGGACAATGCACCAGCAACAAATGGGAATGAGCACAGGGTACATATCGACGCAGAGGGACAGAGGTGAAACACATTCAGGTGGAGCACACAATCAACAATGGAACAGGAAATAAAGCTAAACAAAACCACAAGAGAACTCACGAACAAAGTAACAAAAATCCACACCATGACGAAAGTTTTCTCTCATGTCTGCTGTCCTTCAGAAGGATTACGTCAGTCGGCCATTATCAATCAATCAATCAATCAAAGTTTATTTGTAGAGCGCCTTTCATACACAGGGCAACACAAAGCGCTTCACAGTCCACATCACAAATCATCACATAAAACAAACACCAGAATCACAATTAAAACATTAAAATCACACAAAAGATTAAAACACAATTAAAACAGTAAAATCACACAAAAGAATAAAACCATTAAAACTTTCAAAATTACACAAGAAATTAAAAAAAAATAAATAAATGACAGCAGTGCATTAAAAATGGAGATAAAATCCTTCAGTTATATGCACAGGCAAACAGAACAGTCTTTAACCTGGATTTGAACATTGACAGAGTAGACGCCTCCCTCACATTTTCAGGGAGATTGTTCCAGATCTTAGCTGCATGGATCTGAAACGCAGCCTCCCCATGTTTGGTTCTCACTCTGGGCACCAGCAGGAGGCCAGTCCCTGTGCTCCTCAGAGTCCGGGCCGGTTCATATGACACCAACATGTCACTAATGTATTCTGGTGCAAGGCCATGGAGAGACTTGTACACAAGCAGAGCCGTTTTAAAATCTATTCTTTGAGCCACAGGAAGCCAGTGCAGAGACCTGAGGACCGGACTAATATGGTCATACTTCCTGGTTCCTGTCAGGACTCTAGCTGCTGCATTTTGGATGTACTGCAGCTGCTTACAGGTCTGTTTGGACAGACCTGTAAGCAGGCCATTGCAGTAGTCTAGCCTGCTGGAGACAAATGCATGGACAAGAATCTC